TTCAAGTTGCATGGATATTATTAAACATGACATGTTAGAAACGGTTAACTTTTTCTTAAAGTGGGGAGTGGTCCAAGATCGGTCAACCCCACACTCCTCGTTTTGATTCCAAAAGTGTTGAAGCCTGTTCTTTCTCAGAGTTCAGGCCCATAAGTCTATGCAATTTTTTATACAAAGTCTTCACTAAGATCCTATCCATAGACTTGCTTCCCTTTTCCATCTCTGATTTCAAATGCATAGCATGGTTTTGTCAAAGGGAGAGGGATTGGGGACTGTATTTCTTTAGCTCAGTTAATGGTGGTAGAGCTTGATAGGAAGTTGAGGCTGGCAACGTGATTCTTAAACTGGATATGATGAAGGCGTACGATCGCATAGAGTGGGATTTTTGAAAAGAACCTTGACTTGTTTTGGCTTTTCAAGCTTGTTCATTTCTATCATTGGCAACTGCTTAAAGAATCAATTTTTCTCGGTCTGCTTGAATGGGAAAAGATTCGGTTCTTTCCTTCGTCTAGAGGACTGAGACAAGGTGACCAATTTCTCCGGCTCTCTTTATTCTGGCAGAGGAGGTTTTAAGTAGAGGACTGTTGAAGCTGTATGGTGAAGGCAGAATCAAGGCTTTTCATGCAGGGAGGAATGCACTTCTTGTCTCTCATCTGCTTTTTGCAGATGATACTCTACTGTTTCTTAGGGGTAATAAACTTTCCATGGAACGATTGATGAGGTTTTTGGCAAGATACAAGGATAGCTCTGGACAGAGGATAAGTAAACATAAAAGCTCTTTCATATGTTCCTCCAATATTCCTCGGGGCAGGACAATGACTCTATCCAGAATTGCTCAAATTCCAATAAAACAATGTCCCTTCGTCTACCTGGGATGCCCCATGATAAGAGGAAGATATAAACTGCGGGATTTTGAGGATGTGGTCCTAAAATTCAAAGCCAAAATGGAAGGGTGGTACGCACGCTTACTTTCAAACATGGGCAGAATTGTGTTGATTAAATCAGTCCTTAATTCTGTTCCTATTCATTTGCTCGCTTGTCTAAGCGTGCCCAAAGGCATCCTGGCAAAGTTGAATTCTCTCATGGCCTCCTTTATGTGGCTAGGCAGGATGGGGGAGAGGAAAAGGCATTGGGTTTCATGGTCTGTAATTACAAGACCCAAGCAAGAGGGGGGCCTAGGGATTCGTAAATTTGAAGATATCCAAACGGCATACCGTTGGAAGCAGGCATGGGTATTCTTAAGGGCGACTCTCTGTGGGCAAACATGTTTAGAGAAAAATTCTTAAGAGGCAATGCTGCAACCTTTCTTTAGCTTGATTATGACCAACTCACAGGTCATGGTGGGGAATGGGAAGAATGTTGACTTTTGGTGTTCGAACTGGACTGGATCTGGCCCTCTTCTGCTCAGGTATGCCGTTTCTCCCTCGTGCTTTCCATGCCTGGATGAGTTATGGGCTGATGGGTGCTGGCAGTGGCAAAGTTTGGGGGTGCAGGTATCTGAACAGTTAAAGCATGAAGTACAGAATTCTATGATTTGTTTAAGCGAAAAGGAAGATCGACTGATATGGAAATTAACTGATTCGGGAGAGTCCAATGTCAAGTCTGCTTGGGAGGCAGTGAGAGCTTCGAGTGTCCCTGTGCCTGTGACCTCTGTGATCTGGAACCAATCGGTTTTCCCAAGTGCAAAACTGCTGGGCTGGAAGATATATCAGAAAGCAGTAGTAGAGGACTCAAACTTCCAACGGGTCGGTGTTGATTTGGCCAGCAGATGTTCTCTACGTTACAAGGCTGTGGAATCTACTTCTCACCTGTTCATACAATGCAACTTTGATAAAGAGGTTTGGGGAAACTGGCTGCATTTCGTGGTTTTCAGGTTTTCTCCGCTGAATCCTTTGGTTTGTATGATGAGACTGATCAAAATTTTTAAAAAACACTCTGTAAGTCAGAACTTGTTAAGAGGTGTTCCACTGGTGGTAATTTGGAGATTATGGAGGGAGCGATGCAGAAGGGTCTATGAAGATAGCTCACTCTCGGCCTATGTTGTGTTTCTAGATATCTGCTCCACTCTGCGTCTTCAGGCTTATGGCGTTAGACCCAAAGATAAGGAAGGCATGATTGGTATGGAATTCTTGAGGGCATTAAAGGTAGAGCTGAGGCATGAGCTGAAACAAAAAATTATTTGCATAAACTGGTCCCTTCCTCCTTCGGGCATTTTAAAGCTAAATGTGGATGGGGCATCGAAAGGAAATCCTGGAAGAGCTGGGGGCGGAGCTGTGGTAAGGAATGACTTGGGGCACATAGTTCTGGCTGCTTCTTTTTTTTATGAGGTGTGTTCCAACACGGAAGCTGAGTTGCATGCTCTCAAGGATGGTTTATTGCTATTTAGAAGTTATGGACTTCTAAATTATAATCTTCAGATTGAAACTGATTCGGCCATGATGGTTCAAATGATAATGAAAGGGCACATGAGGGCCTGGAAGTTTTGGAGAATTTGTGATTTGCTGTTTTGGAGGGTACCTCTTCGGATTTCACACTTGATTTAAAGATTCCTCTCCGGGCTAAATTAATCCAGATGCAGGATCAACAAGGTGTTAAAACGCCAAGGAAAAAGTGCGCCATTTTTGTGATTTTTTACCTATATTATGGATCCATTTCACATGATGGGGCTTTTGCTAAGGCTGCCATGGTTTATGGTCATTGGACTGTTTAGCTGGTTTTGCTCTAGTCAGCTGATTTTCTTTCCAACTGGTTCTCTCTGTGATGTGGTGCTTTCAGTTTGGAGGACTCTGCTGGTTTCCCTTGTTCCTGCTGGTTTTTCAGGCAACATCTGTTTCTTTAATGCTGTTGTGGGGGTTCTCATGTTGCTTTTCTGCTGCTTGTTGTCTGGATGCACTGTTCATGTGAACTGCTTCGCGATTGCTGCAGATTGTCTCTTCCAGCTGATCTCAGTTGGTTTATTGACTGGAACACAGTTGGTTTTCAGCTGGGACTTCAGCTGCTCCTAGCTGAGATTTATTGTTACTTTTACGCCTTCTGCTGTATCATGTTGGCATTTATTGGCTTCCTCTCAGATGTTGGTATTTCACGGTTCTGTTCAGCAGCATTTCTTCTCTGTCCAAGTCCACTGCTCACGTGAGCAGTCCGGTTGCTGCACTGCTGAATCTTCTTGTTTTCCAGCTGGTTTTCCAATTGGTTTCTTGCTTGTATGAGCCACTCAGCTGGCCTCTCTACTGTTTTTTTGGTTTTGCAATGAAGGAGTGCTGGGGGCTGTGTGTGGGTTCTGATCAGAAGGGGACTGTTCACGTGAACAGTCCAGATGCTGCTGCAGCTGATTTTTTTCAGCTATTTTTTTGTTTCTTTCCTCGGTTCCAGCGGCTGCTCTGAATTAACTGGCTTTCAGCGGGATCCCAGCTGCTTTCTCTTATGGTGTTACTGCTGCCTTTTCTGATGAATTTCAGCTGCCTCTGCTCTCACCCTTTGCAGCTGCTTTTCAGGCGTCTGTTCACCTGATTACAGCTAGAATTTCAGCTGCTGTTCAACTGGATTAATGCCACTTTTGTGCCTTCTGCTGTTCAACAAAATTTCTATAATAGAAAAGAGAACAAAATACATATTATCAAAGAAATGCTAAGCAATTAAAGGTTAGGAAAAACATGAAAACAACAACGAAAAATGAAAAAAAACCTATCGGATAATGAGAATGTTGGAGGATGAAAATAATAGAAAGAATGACCATAATAAACAAAACACAAAACAAGTAGAAATAGTCAAGTGCAAAACATACTTTACATAGAAAAGAAAGTCAATGGATCTAGGACGAATTGATATATTTATCTTTTCAATCATAAGCTCCCTTTGCAAACTCCTAATGTTCTTCCATGATTTATCCTTTTGCTCCCCTCCAAATAATTTAACATTGTTTCCAACATATAACAACTTAATAGAAAGATAATAGAAAAATAAAATAAAACATAATTTATTTAATAGAAAAACGAACAAAATACATATTATCAAAGAAATGCTAATCAATTAATGGTTAGCAAAAACATGAAAACAACAATCAAAAATGAAAAGAAATCAATCGGAAAATGAAAGGGTTGGGAGATGAAAATAATAGAAAGAATGATCATAACAAACAAGAAACACAAAAACAAGTAGAAATAGTCAAGTGTAAAGCATAATTTACATATAAAAGAAAGCCAATGGATCTAGGACGAATAGATATACTTATCTTTTCAATCATAAGCTCGCCTTGCAAACTTATCTCCTTCAACTCTTCTTAGTCTTTCAAAAGCAAACACCCATTCTACAAACAACTGAAATTAAAACACAAAATAGATTTGTCACCCACATAAATATCAAAATCTAAAGAACAACAACAAAAAACAATAACAGACAAAAATAGGAGAAGAATGATGAGCTAGTGGAGCAAAAAAAGCAAAAAAACAATAAACCCAAATCCCTATCCCCTAAGCCTTTAAACCTTAACTCTTAGCCCTTATTCGAGTAACCCCTACCCCTAACCTCTAACACCTAAACCACTAAACCATAACCCAAAACACGAAAAGCTCTAATCCCCGAGCCCTATGGCCTAAACCTCTTTGAATTCTACGTTCTATTAATCTCTTTTACGTGCTACAAACTCCTAATATTCTTCCATACTTTGTCCTTTTGCTCTCCTCCAAATAATTCAACTTTTTTTCCAACATATAACAATTTAATAGAAAGGTAATAAAAATAAATAAAATAAAACATAATTCCTAGAATAGAAAAGCAAACAAAATACATATTATCAAAAAAGTGCTAAACAATTAAAGGTTTGGAAAAACATGAAAACAACAACGATAAATGAAAAGGAACCTACCGGATAATGAGAGTGTTGGGGGATCAAAATAATAGAAAGAATGATCATAACAAACAATAAACACAAAAACAAGTAGAAATAGTCAAGTGTAAAACATATTTTACATATAAAATAAAGTCAACGCAACTAGGACGAATATATATACTTATCTTTTCAATCATAAGCTCGCCTTGCAAACTTTTCTCCTTCAACTCTTCTTAATCTTTCAAAAGCAAACATCCATTCCACAAACAACTGAAATTAAAACACAAAATAGATTTGTCACGCACATAAATATGAAAATCTAAAGAACAACAACAAAATATAATAAGAGACAAAAATAGGAGAAGAAAGATGAGCTAGTGGAGCAAAAGAAGCAAAAGAACACTAAACCCAAATCCTTATCCCCTAAGCCTTTAAACCTTAACTCTTAGCCCTTATCCCCGTAACCCCTACCCCTAACCTCTAACCCCTAAACCCCTAAACCTTAACCCAAAACACCTATAGCTCTAATCCCCGATCCCTATGGCCTAAACCTCTTTGAATTCTACGTTCTATTAATCTCTTTTACATGCTACAAACTCCTAATATTCTTCCATACTTTGTCCTTTTGCTCTCCTCCAAATAATTCAACTTTTTTCCAACATATAACAATTTAATAGAAAGGTAATAAAAAAAGAAATAAAACATAATTCCTAGAATAGAAAAGCGAACAAAATACATATTATCAAAAAAGTGCTAAACAATTAAAGGTTTGGAAAAACATGAAAACAACAACGATAAATGAAAAGGAACCTATCGGATAATGAGAGTATTGGGGGATGAAAATAATAGAAAGAATGATCATAACAAACAATAAACACAAAAACAAGTAGAAATAGTCAAGTGTAAAACATATTTTACATATAAAATAAAGTCAACGCAACTAGGACGAATATATATACTTATCTTTTCAATCATAAGCTCGCCTTGCAAACTTTTCTCCTTCAACTCTTCTTAATCTTTCAAAAGCAAACATCCATTCCACAAACAACTGAAATTAAAACACAAAATAGATTTGTCACGCACATAAATATGAAAATCTAAAGAACAACAACAAAATATAATAAGAGACAAAAATAGGAGAAGAAAGATGAGCTAGTGGAGCAAAAGAACAAAAGAACACTAAACCCAAATCCTTATCCCCTAAGCCTTTAAACCTTAACTCTTAGCCCTTATCCCCGTAACCCCTACCCCTAACCACTAACACCTAAACCCCTAAACCTTAACCCAAAACACCTATAGCTCTAATCCCCGAGCCCTATGGCCTAAACCTCTTTGAATTCTACGTTCTATTAATCTCTTTTACATGCTACAAACTTCTAATATTCTTCCATACTTTGTCCTTTTGCTCTCCTCCAAATAATTCAACTTTCTTTCCAACATATAACAATTTAATAGAAAGGTAATAAAAAAAAGAAATAAAACATAATTTCTAGAATAGAAAAGCGAACAAAATACATATTATCAAAAAAGTGCTAAACAATTAAAGGTTTGGAAAAACATGAAAACAACAACGATAAATCAAAATGAACCTATCGGATAATGAGAGTATTGGGGGATGAAAATAATAGAAAGAATGATCATAACAAACAATAAACACAAAAACAAGTAGAAATAGTCAAGTGTAAAACATATTTTACATATAAAATAAAGTCAACGCAACTAGGACGAATATATATACTTATCTTTTCAATCATAAGCTCGCCTTGCAAACTTTTCTCCTTCAACTCTTCTTAATCTTTCAAAAGCAAACATCCATTCCACAAACAACTGAAATTAAAACACAAAATAGATTTGTCACGCACATAAATATGAAAATCTAAAGAACAACAACAAAATATAATAAGAGACAAAAATAGGAGAAGAAAGATGAGCTAGTGGAGCAAAAGAAGCAAAAGAACATAAACCCAAATCCTTATCCCCTAAGCCTTTAAACCTTAACTCTTAGCCCTTATCCCCGTAACCCCTACCCCTAACCTCTAACACCTAAATCCCCTAAACCTTAACCCAAAACACCAAAAGCTCTAATCCCCGAGCCCTATGGCCTAAACCTCTTTGAATTCTATGTTCTATTAATCTCTTTTACATGCTACAAACTCCTAACATGCTTCCATGCTTTATCCTTTTGCTCTCCTCCAAATAATTCAACTTTGTTTCGAACATATAACAATTTAATAGAAAGATAATAATAAAAAAAGAAATAAAACATAATTTCTATAATAGAAAAGTGAACAAAATAAATACTCAAACAAGTGGTAAGCAATTAAAGGTTAGGAAAAACAAGAAAACAACAACGATAAATAAAAAGGAACATATCGGATAATGAGAGTGTTGGGGATAAAAATAATAGAAAGAATGATCATAACAAACGAGAAACGCAAAAACAAGTAGAAATAGTCAAGTGTTAACCATATTTTACATTTAAAATAAAGTCAACGCAACAAGGACAAATAGATATACTTATCTTTTCAATCGTAAGCTCGCCTTGCAAACTTATCTCCTTCAACTCTTCTTAATCTTTCAAAAACAAACATTCATTCCACAAACAACTGAAATTAAAATACAAAATAGATTTGTCACACACATAAATAAGAAAATCTAAAAATAATAAGAGACAAAAATAGGAGAAGAATGATGAGCTAGTGGAGGAAAAGAAACAAAAGAACAATAAACCAAAATCTCTATCCCCTAAACCTTTAAACCTTAACTCTTAGCCCTTATCCGAGTAACCCCTACCCCTAACCTCTAACACCTAAACCCCTAAACCTTAACCCAAAACACCAAAAGCTCTAATCCCCGAGCCCTATGGCCTAAACCTCTTTGAATTCTATGTTCTATTAATCTCTTTTACATGCTACAAACTCCTAATGTTCTTCCATGCTTTATCCTTTTGCTCCCCTCCAAATAATTCAACTTTCTTTCCAACATATAACAATTTAATAGAAAGATAATAAAAAAATAAAATAAAACATAACTTCTATAATAGAAAAGCGAACAAAATACATATTCTCAAAGAAGTGCTAAGCAATTAAAGGTTTGGAAAAACATGAAACAACAACGATAAATGAAAAGAAATCTATCGGATAATGAGAGTGTTGGGGGATGAAAATAATAGAAAGAATGATCATAACAAACAATAAACACAAAAACAAGTAGAAATAGTCAAGTGTAAAACATATTTTACAAATTCAAGAAAGTCAACGCAACTTGGACGAATAGATAGACTTATCTTTTCAATCATAAGCTCGCTTTGCAAACTTATCTCCTTCAACTCATCTTAATCTTTCAAAAGCAAACATTCATTCCACAAATAACTGAAATTAATACACAAAATAATTTGTCACGCACATAAATATGAAAATCTAAAGAACAACTACAAAAAAATAAGAGACAAAAATAGGAGAAGAATGATGAGCTAGTGCCGCAAAAGAACAATAAACCCAAATCCTATCCCCTAAACCTTTAAACTTTAACTCTTAGCCCGTTATCCCCGTAACCCCTAAACCCCTAAACCTTAACTCAAAACACCAAAAGCTCTAATCCCCGAGCCCTATGGCCTAAACCTCTTTGAATTCTATGTTCTATTAATCTATTTTACATGCTACAAACTCCTAATGTTCTTCCATGCTTTATCTTTTTGCTCCCCTCCAAATAATTCAACTT